TAATTTACAATCTGTTCAACAAAAAATAGAACAATAAGCAAATTTGATCAAATTTAAACACAGTAGTTAGTCTTTATCCAACAATAGGGATAACACACAAACTTTGCATATTTGGTACAAAGTTTAAAGTCTAAAAACGACTACTTAAGTCCAAAACATGGCATATTTTCAATCTGTATGTATAGTTGCTGTTGTCCAATAAATTTAAAGCAAGGTAGTTAGGATGGTACTCTAATTTCTTTAAGTATTTGGCCCTTAATTTTGAAATCTCTTCTTTGACTGTTGGGGTTCGACTGTCCCTGTGAATTACTTCGTTATTGACGAACCATGGTGCCTGGAGAATGTGTCTTAGAACTTTAGATTGGAATCTTTGGATGATGTTCAGATTGGATTCACTGGATGTCCCCCACAGTTGGATACCGTACGTCCACACTGGTTTTAGAATGGTTTTATATAAAAGCAATTTATTTTCTGTTGTTTTAGAATTTTGATTTAATAGCCAAGAAAGATTTTTAAATTTTAAATTTAACGAAATTCTCTTGTTCCAGATGTGGCTTTTCCAAGTGAGTCTTCTATCAAGGGTCAAGCCCAACTATTTAACCTCATTGCACTGTGGGATTTGAACGTTGTTTAGGGTAACTGGAGGACACGTGTCTAATCTTGTTGTAAAGGTTGTATGGACCGATTTACTCTCATTTACTTTGATCCCCCATTTTTTTTAGCCAATCGGAGATATCATCGAGTCCAGTCTGCAAAATTTGTGAAGCTATAACAGGGTTTTCATGAGAGGCTATAATAGCAGTATCATCAGCGAATGTTGCAATTTCGACATTAGGATTTTCAGGGAGGTCTGCCGTGAACAATGTGTAGAGAACGGGGCCCAATACACTTCCTTGGGGAACTCCTGCATGAATTTCGTGAAGTGGGGTAACAATATCACCAAATTTTACTCCGAAGTGTCGATTGAAAAGGTAAGACCTCATGAGATTGAAAAATGTGTGAGGAAGATTACGTTTAAGTTTATAGAGTAAACCAGTATGACAAACTTTGTCAAACGCTTGACTCACGTCAATGAACACAGCAGAACAAAACTTCTTTGTCTCGATACCCTCTTTGATAACAACCACCACCCGATGGACCTGCTAAATGGCAGAATGTTCTTGCCGAAATCCAAACTGGTGATTAGGAATTAAGTTTGATTCATCAATCACAAAACGAAGGCGCTTTAAAAGAAGTTTTTCAAAAACCTTCGAGGCAATGGGGAGGAGACTGATAGGCCGGTACGAACTAACTTGATTTGGTGGTTTTCCAGGCTTTTAAATCATTATAATTTCAGATGTTTTCCATTGAGTAGGGAAATGCTCAGTTCGCAAAATGGAATTGAAAATTAGGGTCAAGAATAAAATTGCTTTTCTTGGAAGTTCTTTGAGAGTTTTTCCTGTGATCAAATCATACCCAGGGGCTTTGAGCAGTTTTAACCCCTTAATTACTTTTATCACTTCAGAAGATCGAAACTGAGATATCGGCAATGACATATGATTGGGGGAGTCGAGGAATTCTTCAATTTCTTGGTAGTTGTTATTCAAATTTGTATTTGGCGTGAACACTGATGAAAGGTGGTCAGCAAACTAAGTCGCTTTCTCTTCGTTACTTCTGGCCCATGACCCGTTGGGCTTAAGTAGAGGGGGTACTGGAGTTTTAGGTTGTTTCATTGTCTTAGTAACCTTCCACAAAGAATAGTTTGTACTTTCAGTTGGAGACAAATTTGCAGTAAATTCACAAAACCATTTATTTTTAAGATTCTTTAGAGCTCGTTTTAGATCTTGAGAAGCTTTATTTAAATTGGCTTTATCCCTTTGGTTACGTGACTGTTGCCATATTCTTCTTAGTCTTCTTTTCTCCGCTATTCTCCGCTTTATCTCAACTGGATAGTTTATATGATTCAAGTTCTTTTGTTGGTCGCCTGGAGTTGATTGCCAGCAAGACGTTTGAATTGTAGAATTAAGAAACTTGACCGCATCATCGATGTCATCTGGCGTTTTCAGGGGTATTTCTAAAGAAATATTTTCATTCATAATTTGCCGAAATTTTTCCCAGTTGGTCAGTTTATTAGAGAGAGTTGGTGACATTCTTTATAAATTATGGTTGAGCTTATGGTTGCTATTATCGGAGAATGGTCTGATGAAAGATCCAGGCAAGATTTGACATCAGTATAATTTTGTCCAATACCTTTAGTCACAAAAAAATCTATGAGGTCTGGAGTTTTTTGAGGATCAGTGGGCCAGTACGTAGGCTCGCCTGTTGACAAGTAGTTCATATTGTTGTTGTTAATAGATATTAAAAGCTGCCTTCCTCTAGGGTTAGCTAGCCTTGATCCCTACATTGGATGCTTTGCATTATAATCGCCTCCTGCCACAAACCTAGGACCGAGGGTGTTGAAAAAATCTGTAAAGTCTTGATTCATTATATTGTGGCGAGGGGGGCTATATATTGCAGAAATTGATATTGGTCCTGCCCAGTCCTCAACAACAATACTCGTAGCTTGAATGTGAGGCTGTTGAAACTTTGGCAACTCATAATGTTTTATTTGATTTCTAATTAAAATTGCAGTTCCACCATGTGCAGTGTTGTCTGGATGGTTTGTATGATACATTACAAAATTTGGAATTTTGAACAAGTTTAAGTTTGTGAAGTGAATTTCTGATACAAGCATTATATCAATTTTGTTTTGTGAAATGAAAAGTCGGAGTTCTTGATTATGGTTAATCAAGCCATTGGCGTTCCAGAGACCTATTCTGAAAAACTGGTTCATTTTAATTTAGATACAACAGTGGTTAATAGGTTTAAAAGGGTCCCTATTTGGTTAGCTTGCTGCATCATAAGTTTTTCGAATCTGTCAAAGAATGAATTCAAAGTCTTGTTTAGATGACCAGTGTCGTTTTCAATGTTACTTGCTGATGCAGCCTGGGCGTATGAGAGACCAGAGGTGGTAGATGGTCTACGATGCTGTTCAGCATTTTGAGTTTTCTCAACCTCATCACGTCTGTCGCTGGTTTGATTGGGAGTATTGTTTTCATAAGATTTACTTATTTTAAGTGAATAAATAAAGTAATCACTTGTTATTCAAGTAAACCTATAGTAAACGTTTGAAACACATGTGAATAAAAACAAGTGAATGCTTAAAAGATTAGTAACTACTCGTTATTTGCAAGTCTTCCTTTACCCATGCTTTTGTGTCAAGCTGGCTTGTATTTAAACTTACGTAAGGAAAAGTGCTACAAAAATCGAAGATCAATCACTCCGATTATGTGTAAACATCTTTTACAATTTGAGAATGAAAATGTAGATTTCATTACAAACTATTTTTAGTAGAGACTTCTGAAGCTCGAGGTGGTGCACTCAGTTCAAGGCAAAATATAGAGATTTTTGTGCGTTGCGTGAGTGATCCTGGTTTCCCCTTAGCATTTTACGATTTGGATTATGACATTATCTCTATGTGTTTTTCTAAGTGAATTTATCTACATTTAAAGAAATCTATATAGATTAAATTAATAGTCATGAAGATTGTTATTGGAAAATGTTCCTTAGTTTTACTATGATTAGAATGTTTATATTATAAACACACTGCATGTCCTTTGGAATTTTTATTTTAAACAGAGCAGACATCAAAATGCATTATGCAGGTATGTAATAACCATTATACATATCATAATATACAAAAATGTTAAATGATAATTTGAGGTAGGGTAACCCACGAGACTAATAATTTGTACACTATAATTACGGGCTATTGTCCCTACAAGCCACTAGTAGTAAATAAATGTACTCAATGTGTTTCATTGAATTGAAAAATAAATAACATCAATTAAATTACGGTATACGTGATCAAAATGTAAACAATTATGTTCTTCATAAGGATAACATGGGAACTTTCAAAGCCACTGGGGCAGAGCCCAAGGGACTTTTACAAAAATATAAGGCCAGTTTGCAAATCTACGCGACAAGCTCTTTCCAATGAGACGTCAATGGATAAAATCGGTTAAGAAATGGTGGAGGAGTTCAACCGACAAAGTTTCATGTAGCGTATTAATTATATAGATGGATAAGCTCAAAAATATGGCATGGGCCGTATGGGTTGTCATGCTGGTGACAAAATCACAACGAAATATAAACAGAAAATCAAAACAAATGGAAGAAATTTCTATCATCACATATTTTATTTACAGCATGGGGTGAAAATAGAGAAGTCTGTACATTACATATTTTGGTCGAGTTTTCGACCACTGGCCGACCTGTAGTACAATTTTAAACAATAGATTTGTTGGAAAAGTCCAGTTAATAATAGTAGGTAATAATACTAATTCACCTGAGCGTGGCACTATCATTTCAGTTACCTGCGCGTCGTCATGTGATTCCCCCACGGTTGTAAGAGATTGGTACATAAGCTTAGGGCTGTTAGTGAAATTTTTGGATTGTTTAATACTAAACCACATTGGCATATATGACTTTAAAATGAACAATTGAACATTACTATTTTCTGGAACTCAACAGATGGATTTTCTTGATTATTGCAGAGGCTTAGTGTTCGGTTAGCAGTCATTATCCATTTAGAGTGAGACAAAGGGCCAGGATCCTGGATTGCAAAAATTTAACAAGAACATTTAATGTTCTTGACATTTAAGGAACGTGTATGCATGTAAAAAGAAAGTATCGTAGCACTATCGAGTGTGAGATGTTAATAGTCATCGCCTGGTAAGTAAATACTGATTCCTGGGATCAACCTGTGGCCATTTATTTATCTTCTTCCTTTTGCACTTGAAAGCAGAACATCTATTATGCTCGGTTCAGTTCCCAATGATTCCTTTATTTGCCGTGAACATCAGTATATCTCAGGGACAGTTTCTAGGTTTTGTTGGAGTAGGAAGTGCTAAAAAACCACGCTTTGGTCATAGAATAACTCACAAAGGCACGATTAGGTAGTGAAAATGTTCTGTACAAACCCTTGGATCGAGGAGACAGGTAGTGGTAGTGTACGCTGGCTCCCCCTGCAGACATTCCTGTGATTGTCACACTCTGGGGGTTGCCTCCAAAAGCTGCTATGTTCCTCTGTATCCACTCCAGAGATCTCACTTGGTCCTTTAACCCATTGTTGCCTGGCACTACATCATCCTCTGTGCTGAGGAAGCCTGCAACATGATATGACCTCCATCTATCTGACTAAATCTAAATTATGTATACAAGTCTTAGGACAACTTAATAACTTTAAAACGAAGACAGATATCACAATCAAATTTAAAAACAAACATAACAACTGCCACTAGTGTGAAAATGCACAAGGATGACAAATTGTCTCATTCAACAGGCAAAGTAAGATTATTTAATCTTATTCACCTGACCTCCAAGACTAAATAAAGATAACTTGTAATAATGTAGGCTATCAATTGATGAACTATGCAAAGTCATGGAAGTGCAACTAATATAATGGAGATAGTAATAATTTAGTTACCTAAGGGTCCGAGCCGATAGTTAATAGATACATAGACAACATCATGATCCAGTAGATACCAGGGCATATACAGGTGACCCCCTCCATAGGTGAAGGCTCCTCCATGGATGTATACAATGACGTCCCTCAATTGTTCATTCTTTTTCGGTAACTGTAAGATGTATTCTGTTGATACATTTATTTAACTGTAAAGCTGACAGAATTAAAATATGTTTACATTTATATCGAGTGAGACATACAAAAATAGGTTTATACATCAGTTGTACTTCAATTGTTAACTATTCATGCAGTTATGTCCATCTCAAATTCTCTGAGTTTTCATGTATGAAAAAAACATTTGTGTTACAGTCACTTTTTGAATTTTTAATAAGGTAAGAGTGCCAAATCGTTTATCAATAAAAATTCAGTATTAAGTCTATAAACTTTCATTTTTCATCATACAGTAAACTAAAAATCACAAGAGTTTGTCGTGGTATTAAAAAAATAAAGAAAGGGCCCAATGAATAGCTGTAGTTCAATTGAAATTGATTGAAGTGATTACATACCCAAGATTTTATGTTTGTACTGTATATGAATAGCTTAAGACGTATAGTCCCTCAATAGAATATACATGAGGCAATATAAGAGTAACCTAAGTACTTACTTGTGTAGTATAAACGTTAAGATACAAGCAGTCCTCATCTCCCAGTATGGGCTCATCCAGTAGATAAGTCATGTGATCGTACTGTAGACACACACTGCCTGGGTGACTAGCGTCCCATACTCCATCCCATGGGGTGTCTAGCGGCTCAGACTCCTATGGCAGAGAATAAACATTAAGATATAAGCAGTCCTCATCTCCCAGTATGGGCTCGTTCAGTAGATAAGTATATCGTACTGTAGACACACACTGCCTGGGTGACTATCGTCCCACACTCCATCCCATGGGTGTCTAGCCGCTCAGACATTTATGGTAGAGGATAAACATTAAGATATAAGCAGTGCTCATCTCCCATAGGGAATAAGAATGTTATTACCGTAGGTATCATGGTAAGATCTGGACTTGGGACCGATTTACTTTTTTGTTTCCATATGTCCCAAGAGTCCAAAATACCATCCATTTAAATGCATATATATATGGCTTAGTTGGTAGCAGACAAACTGTGAAACTAACCAATGAAGTCTTGGTTTTGTTACATTATGTACAAGGCACTAGCCCATGTGAACACTGGACAACACACAGTGCATGATGTATACTGTAATACAGTTATACAAAAAACAAAAATTGCTCTTTAAAAATAAATATATCAAATTATCAGGGTGTTGGATATTTCTAATAAATTAGTTTAATTAATAACTTACATTATGATGATTATTTTGAAATAAAAGTTGATATGTGTTGGTTAAATGTTTAAATGCAAGAGGAATCAATGTTTGCTTACCTTAAACCTTCGTTCCCCTACTGGTGGTTTAGCATAAGGGATGCCCTCGAAAGCAAAAATTGTCCTCCCTCCTGCTGTCACTAAGTTATGACCTCTGAGCTTGCCAAACTCTACTTGCACTGTTGGAGTATCGGAACAATAAACTGCAACTGGCAATGAAAAATAAAAAACAAAAACAAGACGCAACATATTGCCGAAGTAACAATCAAATAATAATTTCTTACATAAGAAAGTATTTTTGTCTAACTTATAATAACAATGTTAACTGATCTTTAGTATAAACCTACTCCAACTGTGATTTTGAAGTGACTGAAGCTACAAAAGAAACTTTTTTTATTTTTCTGGATAACCTTGAGGTTAAAACTTCTATCTCCTGGCTAAGCAGAACCAGTTGATAAAATAATTACAATTACAGATTAGAAAACCGGTTTAGTAAACAAGTTGAAACATCATTTTGTTTCTTTTTTCTGGGTGTGGCATTTCAGGAAAAGAGTTTTTTTTTATGATTTAGCATTGAAAATTTTTTCTTATAATTATACTACAGTACTATCTTATTATGCCTACTATCTACATTTTTCATTACCATGATAAAAGTTGGTATAACTACGGAACGCATTTTAAATAAAACTAGCATTTAGAAAATGTATTTACACTTATACATATCAGTGCTACATAACACAGGTGTACACAGTGAAATCTACAAATAGATCAATGTTTTGACGGTCTCAACAAATTTCCTGTATGGGGAATATTATTTCTAGGTACCGTTACAAATTGAGATCTGCCTCCTATATAGGTGCATATTTTTCACACATATAGGAGTTAGACTATTCTTTATATTCTTTTAGTGTTAGACACATAAAGAATACACTTTAAACCCAAATGCAAATTATGAACGAACAACAAAATGTAAACAAAGAAAAATCGAGGAAATATCAATCAGCAAACAATAGTAGTTTACAACACGAGAAGGCAATTAATGGTACGAGCCTTGGCGAGTGCCTTTAAAACTTTTAAAACTTCTACGAGTTGCGTCCACTACTTTACCTACGACAGTTTTTTAATTACTTAGACTTGTTTAACAGCTGATAAGTTTATGGTAAGGCCAAAACTGCGAAGCATTAGTTTTATTTCTTTTCTCTCAATCCTTAAACCTCATTGGCCCAAACTTGTATTTTAAACAATGTTGTTATAGCTATTTACCTAACCCGCCATGTTAAACTTCCCTATCCCAAGCGTGATGTATACAACTTCCTTACTTCTCGAGTGATGTAAAGTATCAAAAGCTCACTCGGTGATGTAAAGAAACCCATTTAAATAACATTGAGTGCTTAACTTAAAAAATATACCTCTATGGAGCCAACGACGTTCAACGCTAGAAATCAGCTGTGCTCTTGAATGTTATTGTTATGCTTTAAAGTATTTTCCTAACCTAGCTTATGTTTGTAAAAGAACGTTACTGTTAGAAGATGAGTGAAATGGATAATGAAAAATATTTTACGTAAACCCATGTATATTGTCGGGTCAGGTAAAATCTTGTACGTTACACCTTACACGTTACGCAAGAGCGTGTTTACATCACTTAAGTGAATTATGCGACTCGCTTCCGCTCGTTGCACAACATTCACCTACGTGATGTAAAAACGCTCTTACTACACTTGTAAATACATAATAACTAAATACATTAAATAACTATTATTGTATTACTGCAATAACATTTCTATGTAAAGTTTTTTTCTGAAAACCAGTAGAAAAGTAATTATACATTAAAAAGAGAGCTGTTTCTCATCCAAATGCAAAAATAATATGCGGAGTAGTAATAGAGTGAAGGAGAATGCGGCGATCAGATCGGCGGATAACGTCACACTCCCCGCCCGCTAGCTTACTTTTACCATAGACATTTTTGTCTATGCTTTTCAGCGAGCACATAATAATAATAATAATAGAGAGGACACGGCGTTTAACCAAATGCACTGAAAGTGTGGCCAAATCCGCCATCTTGGTCCGTCATACAGCCTGAATCCAAGACCCGCGAGCACAGTTCGCATTAAAAACCCCGCGACAAATACACGATCATAAACAACATTAATAGTTGACAAAAAATTCTGAAATTTTGCACACTTGTAGATATAATATTGAGGAAAACGATGGTGTTAATATAAAACTATTAGTTACGATAGTAATTGAGTTATAAATATGTTTAATACTTATGTAGTTTAATTTTTCAATTTCAGACATGAAAAAGTTGTATTGCGAGGAAATTTTTTATTTTTTGGTCAGAGAAATTTCGTCAGCGGGAAAGTTGTGGATAAAAAACCAAATTTAGCCATACGATTCACCAAAAATGTTTATCATGTTCGGTTTTCTAAAAAATCAGGTACAAAAGGGATCCATTGCCGCTGCTCCGCGCCACGCCCGCTGCGCCGCCGGCCGTCTTCTATACATTTAGCGTGCAGTGTTTTAATGTTTTATACTGTTGTACTGTAATATTGTATATATTAAAGACATTTTCAAATATATTGTCTATGTAGAATTTTCAACCGTTTAGCACAAATTTTTAAGGACTAATTAGCTTTCAATATCATTCAAGATAATCTAAAGACAATTCTGTAAGTTAAATTAAACTTCCTAAATATATTTGTAAAATTACACTCAATTTATTGTCCCAGAAAAATTACAGTTTTATTGAGATGTTGCCTGATTTTATTTTTGTGAAGACTTTCGTTACTTATTTTACAGTAGTAGCGAACTCTAACATTGGAATATTTTTTAGCAATAATTTTAATTAGGTACTAAACAAAAATGATTTTTGTCCATATTGTTTCATATCCTGAGAAATGTGTACTATTTGGAAACAAATTTACACCTACACATTGTCCAAGTACTTTGTTCGTCAAGTCCTCAATTACATTGTTTTCCTTTACACTAAAATCATTTAACTTTATATCTTCACTATTCTCATCAAGCATAGCAGACGACTAGCGCGCTGCACACGCCGGGACTACTGTCGGGGAATTAAATATGTGCACTCGAGTTTGAGCCTAAATATCTCTTGAGATGAATTATTAGATTTTCTTGAGACAAAAATTAAATATAATCTGGGTTAAATACATTTTACGTGGTAACAATTTAAAAAAATTCCGTTTACCAGAAAAATTTATATAGTTGAAAGATCCTAAAAAGTACCGATTTTTAAGAAACTCTGCACTAACATTGAAGTTTAAAATTTAATTGTAAACAAACTACTCAGCCAATCTTTCTGAAATTGTTATGGCTTATTGGTAGGTTTATTGTTAACAGTTCCATGCATTTTAAAATTTTAACTCACAATAGTCTTTATGGTGATGTTTTTTTTTTTTTTTTTTAACGTATGCTAACATCGTTAATAAGACGCTAAAAATGTCGTTCAAAATGCCATCGTGTTTGTCGTGACACAAGAAATAAAATAACACTAATATGACAGATTTATAATGTGAACAAAGATGTTTTTTAAACAGATATATATTTGTAAACAAAAATTTCTCCCGCGATAAAAAGATCGATTTACTACGGTAAAAACAATCGATTTACTTTAAGACATTTCCAACAATATACTAATACGACAATGTACTTCCAGAAAAACCTAAGTAATTTTTATACAAAAGTATTTTTACATTTCAACAAAGCCTATGTAAACAACGCTGACTCGAAGCATAGCAGACGACCAGCGCGTTGCAAACGCCGGGACTAGGCTAGCGCCGCCATCTTTGTCCGTTTCGTCGGCTAGTCAGACTGCCACGCTCCTGCGCTCCGAGTAGCGCTTCTATTTTGTTATGTGTTCGCTGATGCTTTTACATGCTTTTACTTAATCGTACGGAACTTACACAAAAACAAACAACAATAACAAAGAATTTGACAGGTGGCAGCTGTGTGAATTAAAAGCAGCACCGTCCGGGTCGGCGGGTGTCGTCATATGCGTGACTGAGGCAACCTCCAACTGTCGTCAATTTTTTACTAAAAAATAATGTAGTTGTGTGAGCCAGTCACAGATTGCGCTAGTGTCTAAAACTCAATTTTGTACCTTATTTTTCGTTACTGACATGTTTGCTGGGTCACAACACTTGCTATAGCTCATAATAAGTCATTCCATGAGTTTGAATTGGTAAAAACCATCATGTAATCGGCAGAAATCAGTAATTTAGATCAGCGCAATCTGTAGGGGGCTCACATAAACTAAGAGAGATTTTATTAAAAACCTGGCTACAACTTTAACATGGGGATGGAATGTCTAGTTGTTGTATTAATAGTCAAAGCTCCAACTAACCTACCCCCATTCAATCATATAGCTACAGTATTTTCATACGTACACCTCTTAATATTTCCTACTAGGTCACGTAGGTAATAGCTTTTAACCATTTACCTGGAACAAAAGAAATACAATTTTTACTAAATAAATATGTTAAATTAGGCTTCTAAAACCAATGTGGACGTCTAAATCGTCAAATCACAGTTTAATGCTTGCTGTTGCTATTTATTGTATATCTAAAAAAAACCCGCCGCAACAAACCTGCAGACTAAGCGAATTCACATATTTTTGGCTAGATTTCCACTAAAATATTGACTTAAACTTGTCGGATTTATTTCCTATGTAAATAACATGAATTTAAATTAATGCTTTGGTTTGGTGGTAAAGATAAGGTAACCTAATGAGGTGTGCTTGTTAATTTAAATTTTGATAGCTTAGTATAAAATTAAGAATATTGCCAAATGTTATTAAAATATATCCATAAACAAGCAAACTACAACAGTTTATTCTTCATAAAAATGGCATTTTAAATTTCCAATTGTTTAAATAATCTCAGTAACCTTTAGGCTTACAACAACGCTTTAATATCTATAATATTAAAACGAAACAGTGTTTTTTTATTTCACGATTCTGAATCAACCACTCGACGGATTTTCGTGATTTTTGTGTTGAAAGAAAGATAATTTTGAGAACTAGGGAATGTCGAAGCCATAATTTTAGTTTAGGGTCCCAGTTTTTTTAGAAATTAAGTTTTAATTTTTTTAAGTCTAGCAGCCGACGCTAAGATTCTAAACTAGCTTTTGGCATAAAATAATTTGCTTAACATAACAGCTGTAAACATTCAGTTTTTGTGTCACAAATTCAGCATTTGGATAAAAATGTAAAGACATACTTAGGGTGTACTATTTATACTATGTGTAATGCTAATCATTGGTACGTTCAATTCTTCTGTAAGAGGATGACAGATTAATTAAATATACATAGTAAAATACTAGGATGTTCAAATTATTTTTTAAATC